AAATAAAAACCAACTTCTCTTACCAGTTCTTCTTTTCATTGTTATTTGAGGAATTTTACTGTGATTGCTCTGGGAGAGTCACATTATGCAGATTGTGGACTCAGAGCTCTGTACATACTTTATTTCTGTCGGGTTGGATGAGGAGAACAATTTTAGTTCATCCTTGTGAATTTCCATATAGATCTTACATAGCTGTCATCTTCAATAACTTCTTTGAACCTCAACATAAATCTGGAAAACTGAAGCTTAATCTGAGCCCTATCAGAGGGAATTCTACTTTTTCAACCCATTGGGGTGAGCACTCTCATCTACAGTGTGGTGACCTGAAATTCTGCTTTCTCTATTTTGTATTCTAGACTGCAGGATATCAGTCCTGTCCTTGATCTCATTCACATTAGGTAGAGTCTTATTTTGTACAGCCTGAAGTCTTACAATTCCTTTTTCATTTCTAACAGCACTGTCTCCCAGTTAGCCCTTCCCTTTTCTTGGATTACCTCCAGTTTGTTTGCAGTAGCAGAAGGGCTCTGTTCCTCAGCAGACTTTGTGGGTTTGGAACACTGACAGAAATTCTTTAAAGTGGTTGTAGGTTTTTTTTTCTGGCTGCTCTTTTTCTCATTGATACAGACCAGTAGCGTAAGTGAAAATGCAGTTTTTAGCACCATTAGTCAAAAATCATTTTTACCAGATTTATGCAGGCTTGTGGGAAAGCATGCCCAGTGCCACCTCTCTAAGGGAAAGCTGTAGTTCTGTAGAGAGTGTGATTTAATAAGTTGTTTTCAAAATGTACACACATTCAGGGAGTCGTGTTTAAAGCTTTTCCTGATGGACATTTCTGAGCAAACCAGTGTTCTCAGTTCTTCAGAAGGAGTAAGTTTCATTTTCTTCAAAACTTCATTTTTCCAGCACCCTGATAAGAGACGTCATTCCAGGCTCTCGATATTGAAGGGAGTTCAGCAATAAAAAAGCCAATTGTGGGTGCTTTTGGCAAGTTTATTAACCTTGTTCAGTGAAGCAAAGATCATGATACTGAGTTCACATTGTCTATTACCACTACAGAGCCAGGCACATTACTGTATACGTGCAAGAACAAGTCACTTTCATTGACATTGGTACTGGTACTGCACAATTTGACTGTAGTCTTTTGTAACAGTTATCTGTACTGTTGCCATTGATAACACCGGAAAATGATCAGTCAAACTTCTGACACTGTCTTTTCTCACCCAGTCTTTCTCTATATTGTTCCTTGTAATACTGTTGTTCTAAGAAAATGGAACATGTTTGATACAGCAGCTCTGCAGTCTTCTTTCTTATTAAAGTGTTGTTTCTCTCTGGAAGAGTTCATTGCTAGCTATCCAGTAAGAATTGGATCCACATGTACAAATAGTTTATTGCTGAAGAGTAAATGCAAATGTGTGCAAATGTATCCCATGACCACTCTCCTAACAGCTCTGAATTCAGTCTGAATTCTGGGTGGCAAAGGAACTGAGCAGATCTTAGTCATTTAACCTTTTATGCTGTCAGGAGAGGGAGCACAAGAGAAAATAGAATATATCCACAGCCTTTAATGGACACTGATACTAAAAATATTCTAAACCCCTGCATACTGGGGTCTACCCCAAGAGTGAGATCCACATGTACAGACCATTCCTAACTATACGTACTGTATAAGGCAAGTGATCTGTTGTTCAGCTTAATAGAAAGGAGGCTGAATCCAAGTTCTGGAGAAGAATGGAAACCATGGTATTTTTTTGCATATCTCACACCTTTTGTTTTGGGAAGGCAGAATGAAATATGGATTTTTCCATCATCTTTCCTACTGCAACAGAAGCTCAACATGGATCAGTTGAAAGCTGTTATTAATTTGGCAGTGGTTGTGATAGGGTTAAAACTTGACCTTTAGAGCTGGAAGGAAAGGGTGAGTGACAGAGAACTGGACTCTGTTCCTCTTGCCTGTGCCCAGGCAGACAGCACTGCCTCAGGCATGCATAACAGCATCCCCATGCCTCTATTCCTTTGCAGAAATCAGCTTCCCCGCTTAAAAACACACAGCCCTGTTCAGAAGGCTAATTTTGGGGGGGAAAGATGCAGGTGGCATATGAGTAAATACAGTGACACTGAATTTAGTTAGAAACAAATCAAAAGATGAACTATAAAGGAATATGATGTGGAAGAAGAGCTGCTGCATAGTGTGTTTTGTAACTAATGAAAAGTTCTAGTTTGGTGGAAGAAAAGCAGGGGATTATTTATTTAATGTGTTTGATAAAGTAATGTTTCCATATTTAGAAAGTGAGTCCGACGATAGTTCAGATGATGAACCTTTAATTAAAAAGCTGAAGAAACCACCTACAGATGATGAGCTTAAGGAAACTGTCAAGAAATTGTTGGCAAATGCCAATTTAGAGGAAGTTACAATGAAACAAATTTGCAAGGAGGTAAGTGTACAGATGGTTTCATACAAAATTAGATCAGTTTTCCTATTTTGTTTAGTAATCTCCAATTTGAATATTTAGAGAACTATACCAATTGATCTTTTTCTTCATTCTGCATCTTCAGCCAGACTGCCTAAAGCTTGGTTCACAAATCTCCACAGATAACCTCAGGATGTTAAAGGAAAAAGACTTGGTTATTTCATTTATTAGCAGTTGTTTTCTTGTTTTTCCAAAAAGGAATGCCATGGGTTTAGACACTGCTAACCACTTGCAAGTTGAGATAAACTGAGACCCTGAGCACATGGTAGCAGTAAACCTTCCATTAATCCCATGATTTGACTGCACAGTGTCAAGGGAGGGAAATAACGTGGCACTTAGAATGACTTGTTCAAGTCCAAACAATTCTACCTTTTTATTTTTTTTTGGCTCTCATTACCTTTACTTTCAGAATAAGTTGAAAAAATTGTTCATTCTGGATATCCTATTGCTTGCTTTAGGTATATGAAAGCTATCCCAGTTATGATTTATCCGACCGGAAAGATTTCATCAAAAAAACAGTCAAAGAGGTAAATAATTTATTATCTAGGAAAAGTTTTTTGTTTTGTTTTTTTTCTTTTTCATACATTTTGAAGGTTGGGCATTCTTACTCTCCTGCCTGTAGCTTTATTGCTATTGTTGTTTTGCTCACTTCCCATACTACAACAAGCACCAAAATTTTGAAAAACCTGTTTTTGGGCACTGTACTTCCCCCTCATTTGGCCCAGAAATTAAGTCAAACCACACCAACTTGTTTGCAGGTAATACTACTTTACCTTTAGGAAGAGTTATTTTTCAGAAAACAGAATTTGAAACCCTAAAACTACCATAGTTCCAATTTAATTGAATTTCCTTAATTATTAATTACCAATCAGTCTGGGCAGTATAACACCAAGTTGCTCTCCTTATTCTTGCATGGTCTGTATCACCTCAGTTAGCACTGCAAGGAAAATTGTTAGTAGGCCTCTTCCATCCTTAACTTTGCACGTGCATATACCCCATCCAGATGTTAGACTTCCTTGGCAAAAATATACTGCACAAAGTGTAGACTGGTGCAGCAGGAGGGAGATTTGGAAATCGCATAGTAACAATTTCTTTTCTAGGTACTCAAGTAATGTGCCACCTTTAATGCAGGTTTCATAGAAAAGTCAATATACAGCCCAAAGCTAGTAATTTCCAAGTAACTTGTCTCCCCTAAAATTAAAGAGGGAGAGTTAAAAGTTAAGTTAATAAGAGAATACAGAAATTCTTAAGAAGCTTTATGCACTCCCTCTATTTCAAGCTCTTCTCACATGCACAAGCTTGGACTTTAGTTAGAGGTATATATAGTCTTAATACCATGTACACCACTAAAAACAGTCCAACAGCAGACAGTAACATGAATAATTCGTGGTAATACTTTTATAAGTAAATTGATTAAGAAGAGCGTAAATCAATCCTTAACAAGCAGGGTTGTTCCTGACAATTTTGCTTTGAAAGGGAATATGGTGCAGGATTGATAGAAGGAGAAAACTTAATAAATATCTCATTTCAGCTGATATCATGATCTAGATTGACTGTGGGAAATGAAGATTGCTGATTTCTGTCCTGTGGATTTGAAGATCTCTGATAGGCACCAGCAAAATGAATGTTTCTTGCCCTTTGTGGTATTGTTTATTCAGAGCTGATTCTGCTGACCTAATGTCCAGAGTGTTAATGTAAATTGCTTTGTGTACCTTTTTTAAAAATTGCATTTGATGCAGTTTTAGTTAACCATACTTAAGTTTTTTGCATGGCAATAAATTTTCCCTTTTATAGTTTTGTACATTTTCAAATTGCTTTGTACAAGTAGATTGACTAGGACCATCATAGCTTTTAGTGTGCTTCAATAGCTTACTTTGCAGGATACTTTTTTAATCAAGTAGGTTGAAAGCTGTTCAAGAGTCTGCACCTGTACATGCAGAGATTGTCTGGAATAATGCAGTATTAGTTTTACAACACTTTTGAATACGTATCCATTTAAAAAATATCAGGAATAAAAGTCATGGGCTAGTGTGTCTTTTATATTCTGGTTTGCATATTTATAAATTTGGAATTACTTTGAATCTAGATTCTTGTCTTGCATGTGCATGCACTGTGAGAACTGTCAAAGCATGGTAACTAATTGGCATATAGATGTTATTTTTGTACTTTTAAAAGGCTTTCTGTTATGTATATAAAGTTATTACAGATTTCTTTTGTTCAAATCATTTTTAATCTAGTTATTCCTTGGAGGATTCATGACATGCAATGTCAGTGTTCAGCAGTGAGGCAATGATGAAGAAAGACTACAAAATAGCTGAAGTTTAACTGTCTGTCCCATCTTACCATGTAAGGGAAATTTAACTGCAGTTTTATACTTATACTTCTCAGTGTTTAACTGTATGTAAAGGCTACAGATTCACTTATTCTAACAGCTTGACCAAGCAAATAAAACTCAACGAAGGCTATATGGAAGAATGCAACTTGGACTTCGAAAATATTTCTATTGGTCCTAGAGTCCAGTATTTTCAGATACGGGTAACTGAAGTAATGGGCACATGACGGGTTGAATAAGACTGAAAACTCGCATAGTGAAGGCCTTAGTTTGGGACAGCATTTAAACACGTAGTCAGGTGGTATGCTGTATAGGACTGCTTTTTTGGAACATAAGCTTAGGTGCCTACACATGGGTGTGGTACTTTAAATGTTAGAGCCCTGTTTCTAAGTTTTGGTCCCCAGCACGGCTTGTTCAAAGTGATCTCTTCATCCAAGTTTTGTGTCCTTCCCCGCACCATCAAACACCTTACTGTTAAGATGGAAAGCCCACATGCTCGTGTAATTATGGTGTAAAATACTAACAGATGCCAAACAAAAAATGTGTTGCCATTGATATTGTAAGCAGCCAATCCCTCTATGACTACTGTTGCTCAAAAAAAGTGAGCATATTTTAAAATTTTAGTGTTGTATACTTGAAAAATCAAGGATCATAGATAATCTGACTTCTGAAAGTATTCAGCCAAATAGCTAATTAATCTTTACACACTTTTTATAATTTCTGTGCATGTAATCCTTTATAAGAAGGCTGAATGTAACAAAGTTTTGTATTTCAATAAATGTCTTTCAGAAAAATGTAAACCAATTTTGATTTAACATTAATTTCCATCTATAGTAAAATCTACGCAGAAAAATTATGTCTGCTTTGTCTCATCTGAAAGAAACCATTTTGGCCCAAAGCCTTATCTGCTTCAGAGGTTTGACATAGTTTTGCTGATAGATACTGTTTTATTTTTTTTTTTAAATTAGGTGCAAGTAGCCCACATTTAAGGATTTTGAAACTCTTAGAATACTTCTTGCTACATGTAGTACATTAATTGTAGTTGAATATCTTCTTTCGATAGATTTTTCTATTAATACTACTCATTCTGTTTACTCCTCAAAATTCCTATGTAGTTTCTCTGGCCAGGTCAGCACCTCATCTTGATGGAGTGAATTAAGTGAATTTCTTCTCCAATTCAGTCCAAAGCCTGAACACTTAAATGAATGCTGCAGTAGTGTATGGAAGGGTTAACCACTGTCAATTAACACTGGTTCATACAAACTAGATCAGTGCAATTTCACAATTGGCACTGCAAAGAAAAAATACTATATTTCTTGGTGTAAACTCTTCCACTCAAAATACTTCATTTGAAGCTCACTCAGGAGAAAGTTATATATGAAAAGCTATACATGGAGAGATGCTTTTAGAACCAACCTTGACATTTTTGATTCCGCTAACAGAATCACTTGATGCTAAGAAAATTTCCAATTCCTTTTAGCAATCGAGGTAAGGAAGCTTGAGAGGACTGTGAGCCAACATTTAAAAGACAAACAAGATGCTATGAGTAATCTGATACTAATTCCAGCCAAGAAAATGCCTGCCCTTCCTCTTTATCTACAGAGGCTATTAGTTTGTCAAATCTGATACACATTGTGCAACTGAAAAGAATAATCTTAAACCTTTATGAAATATTTAGTTTAGTATTAATTCGGACTAAAAGTAGTATTCTACACAATCAGTAACAATCTTACATTGACCATGTAAACAGTTTTCAATCAATTCATGCATAATTAATTAAGAAATCTGTAGTAGGATTAATTCCTGACCAGGCTATTTAGTATTTTGATGAATAAAGTAAAAGACTATTTAAAAGGCTGATGAAGCGATGACAGTTTAATCTTACTGCAAGATATTTCCCATTTCTTATGAAATGCTGGGGCTCTGTCTGTATTTCAAGTACACTCTCTAGAGGTAATAATACTGAGCTGAAATAAAGGTATATCCAATTATGTTTTGAAAAAATTTAATCTTTTACACACACAGCAGAAGATTGGGTGTGTTTAGTCAGTCATTATAAAGCAATCCTACTGCTTTGGGTAAATACAGACAGCTCCAGCATTTCATAAGAAATGGGAAATATCTTGCAGTAAGACTGAGCTCCTTAGGTCTCTCATTTTAACTTATTGGAAAGCAGGGGAGAGGCTTGATCAATGACAAGTGTAGTACAGTTACTTATTACCTAAAGAAAGTTCTAATGTAGCAGACAAAGGCATTACAAAATGTGATGGCTAGAACTCGTAGCTAGAAAGCTGTGGAAAGTGCTTTCATTTAAATGCTAAATAACCACTGAAATAGTTTTTCAATAGAAATTATAGATTCTCTGTTGTTTAATGTCATTAAAAATTGGATATAGGCTATTACAATGAGTAATTAGACTACTAAGTTAAATTCAGAGGCAGCTTTTTACATGAGAATCTTATCTAAAATATGAAAAGACATTATCCAAAAAAGTCTCATCATCTAGGACAGCAGTTGATGATGGATTTCCAGTAGCAGGCCGGGTGACTCACCTCAGGCAGGCTGACTTTCAAAGCCAGCTGCTTCTCTCCACAGCCTAGCCTGTAGTACATCACAGGCAAGGGTGCCCTGGCTCTAGGCTGGATCCAGTGACTCTCTAGACCTTAAGTGGCCAACCCCTGATCCAGGAAGTTGATATTTCTAATAGCCCTGTTTAGTATATACATGAAATCTGAAATTAAAGGTATTATCTCTAGAAGAGCTAATAGGACAGCAGGGATGTCAAACATCTGGCCCCACAGGGCTTCTTGAGGTCTAGATAACCCACTGATGGATATAGGCTATGGGGTTCTTCACAACAGCTGTGCAAGCCCCGTCAGAGGGTCCACACCCAAGTAATTGGTACCGCTGCCTCAACTCCACTTCTGCATTTCCCATTTGTGATCCCTGTTGGGCTTACAAATCCATAGTGGCAGAGCAAGCAGCAACTGAGTTACATACAGGCAATACAACAAATGAAACAAAATTTACCTCTAGGCAGGCAGTATAGCACATAGTAGCTTTGTCAGTTCATTTATTAAAATAAAAGGGAAGAAATGTAAATTCAACATCAGTTCACAAAACAAGCAACACCCAAATGGACACTTTCCAGTTTATTCTGACATCATACCATACCAGTCACACAGGAGAGCTGAAGTATAACAGATCATGCTCTGCATTCAAACATTTTGGTAATATTTTATACAAGCTTATTTAAAAAAAACAACAAAAAAAAAGCCAAACCCCACCCAACTTTCCCTAGTTGTTTATCTACAGGGACTAAATTGTACACACAGGTAAAAAACTGACATGCCTAAAATTAAATTTGACACAGCTGTGAAAAGAAAAGATCTTTGGGAACAGTAATTAAGAGTGAAGCCTCAGAACCAGCCTGACTTTTTTTTTTTTTTTTTTTTTTTTTTTTTTTTTTTTTTTTTTTAGAAGTTTGAATGAATATAAATTAAAACACTTAGTTTCTCCACTTAGGTGCAGCACAATATAATTTAAATGCCTTGACATCAAAGTAATAATATACCATATGTTTGTCCATTTATTACCCATCACTTGTCTTAATGCTATAAAAAGTGCTTGCTAACTAAGGCCCAAGTTAACAAAGAATTTGCTTATGCCCATGCTTGTTCTTCAGCAAAGTATCACTATGTGTGCTAAAATGTTTAAATCCCAGTGTAAGACGCATGCACTTGAAAAATGTTGAATTGGAATGCAGTACTGAAATGAGATTTTAAAGCAGCAGTTCCCAACCTTGAGGCAACAACAGGAACAAATGGGGTCGCAAAGACAACCACAGATTTTTGCCCTTAAAGGAGGAAAAAAAACAGGAAATGGGTTCCCCTTCAAGGCTGGCAGAGTTCCAGCCTGCAAGGGGCTGCTTGGGGCTAGGAGGAACAGAAGGAGGATGATCATCAGGCAGGGAGCTTGAAATATATGTGCCCAGGATTTGGTCCTGGCCCTGTAGCCCTGACAACTGGGGGCTCCCTCTGGCAGGGCTGGGGGGAGCAGGGGGCTGCAGGTTGCAAAGTTGTGGATGGGGAGTGAGGGGCACTGGTGGGTGGGGACGAACCATACTAAGGCAAAAGGTTGGAAAGTGCTGCTTTAGAGCTTGACCTTTCAGTTAACCCTGCGATTATAAAGCAGACTGAAGCTTGGATAAGGCCTGATAAAGCAAGCTCTAAGTAGAATTAACATTACAGGTTTCTAATAAAGATTCTCTTATTTAGCTAGATTTCTAAGATGCATTCCAGTAACATTTTTTATCTTGTACAGAAAATTTCAAGGGAAGAAGAAAGCTCATTTCACTATTGCCCACATATAAAGTTTTCATCTCCCATTGAAATCTTTCCAGTTACATTATTAATTGGTCTACAAAGTGTGGAATTATCAAAGTAACAACGATTAACAAAAGCAAAATCTGAACTTCAATTACCGTTTCTTCTATCAGCAGAGAATTTCACACCTTGTTTTTTGTAACCCTTAAATTACAATTTAGTACTTGGAATATATTAGAAATGTAAATATTAGCATTTGTGTAGAGCAGAAAGAAATATGAACAATTACACTTTTTCAATCACCATCTTACTCTTTTAAAAGTAAAAACAAATATTTATCTGAAAAACAGGTCTCATTACATAAATATCTTCAACCTTGTAAATTAAAGATTAAATAAAGACATTTAAACATAATATCTACTTTAGAAAATGATTAAGTTTTTTAAAGAAGAGTAAAATTTGCTTTTCTTCAGCAGGTTTCTTTTCTGAAGGTAAAACTTTTTGGAGATAAGCACTATAGCTAAAAGCCTCAGTCTCTCTCTCACACAAAAAGCATCCTTTAAAAAATAAAAAGTCTGTCCTTGAGACTAAGAAAAACTGTGTGCTTGTTACCTTTCTAGAATCATATGCAGCCAAAGTAATAAAGTTGCAGGGAGAGAGCGGAGCGGGGCAGGGCAGGGGAGTGTAAATTTTAAAACAATTTTCCATATAAACTTTGTTCTAGGGGATGCTATTAGTCACCTGCCCATTTCTCTTGTTCTATCAAAGATATTTTTCTTTCAGAGTTAGTCCCTCAAGTCTTTCTTTAATAATACTTTCAATAATAATAAAAAAAACTTCAAAGTGCAAGCCACCTTCTTTGAGCCCTTCATAAAAAAGCATGAATTTTACCTCATTCGTCTTT